CCAGTTTTCCTTCTCCAGCTCTCTCGTTGTCGTTGTATTTGTCGTCACGATGTTTGGCACTTGTTCCTTGCTGCCACATCATGCAGCATGCAGCATGCAGTATGGAGCTCTCCTTTTTTCTCTCCCTCTCTCTGTCTATATCTGTGTGGTTGTTTCTATATATATATATATATATATATATATATATTCCTGCTGCCGTATGTCTGCTGCTGTTGCTGCCACACACTTGGCATGCTGCCCCATATACTGGCGGGCGACACACTGTGGCAGGGCCATGCGTGGGCGTGGGCGTCAATTGTTGGCAACTCTTGCATTTTATGCATTCAGAAATTGGCAATAAACGTTTGCCAAAACTTTGTCTGCTGCCCCACACCCCACCGAGAGGGTTACTCCCCCCAAGTTTTGCCAGTGTAGCCTTCGCCATGCCACAGTCAATGGACAGCTCGAAGCAGCTCCAAGTCTACCGCCATATAATCTTTTACACTCGCATTAAAAGCTCACTTTGCCAGAGCCAGAGAATGGCAGGAGGGAGGAGGAAATGCTGCTACAGCACCTTCTGACATGCTCCACTCTACAGTGGAGCCCCGACAACTCCACTGACAACTCAACTTGGGACTGACGCTGAAGCCGGGGCCCGTTTTTGGGCGATATAAAAGTCGTGTGCTCGAGGTACGAGAAACGCCCACCGACTGGCGGACTGGCTGGCTCTTTAAGGTGGCAGCAGACTAGAGTTTGGCTCTGGCATCACTCAAGCGTCAAAGCGCTCGCAGTTAACTGGAAAAACGTTGCCCAAGCTAAGACCCCCGCGTACACCCCTCTGTGTCCACGTCTTCTTCTGCTGTTAGTAGGTCAGAAGTTCTGCGAGAGAGTCGCGGAGTTTAGCTCCGCTCTTTCCGCACCCATGGAGTGGCTTCTCCTCCACTTTTCTGACAGGAAGGGTGGGGAGGGTAGTGGGCCGCAACGTGACTTTGTCTCTTTCGCTGGGATATTTTATTGCCGTCTGTCAGAGACAGAGACAGTGCCGTGCAAACCAAACTGTTTGTTTGCTTTCATTTTTATATACGGAGAGTACTCGGCAGAGAGAATATGCGGCATGCGGCAAGCAAACAACTGCGATTTTAATGTCGGGTGAATGTCATGTTCTCCACTGCCCCCACCCCATCACCATCACCATCTCCATCTTTCTATTGCCTGCCACTGGTTTTCATTTAACGAGTTTAAGTGCGAGTGCCAGTGCGGTGTATCTGTGTATCTTAACCCACACACAGTCTAGAGTCTAGATACAAAGCGAAAGCCTTCTTCTGTCGAGAGCTGTCGCCGTGTCATGAAATTTAATAGAACACCTCTCGCCGATCTCTCTCTCCCTCTCTCTTTGCACACAAACAGAGGGCAAAGATAGATTTCTGAAAGGAATTATAAAAGTTTCCCATCCCAAAGATTTGGTCAAACTTTAGCCAAAACATCTACCAAACTCTACACACCCCCCCATCCCCTGCAGTCATCGTTCTCTGACCAAAACAACAGCAACAACAAAAGACAACAAGACAATGAAAAAACAGAAAAGAAGTTGCGATTACAAATCAGAACAGAACAGAGAACAGAGCAGAGAACAGAGCAGAACAGCGGAAAAAGTTGAAAAGCGCGCTGTAATTATGCCTTCATTTGGGTTTGGGCTCAGGCAGTGGGTGGCGGAGGGGCAGTGGGAAAGCTTTGATTGAAATTTGAAAATGGGTTTTGTTCATCCATCCATCCAGCAGCAGCTGCAGCTGTAACCCGAAAAATTCGCCTTGTCAGTGGGCCACCAACTCCCAAAACATTTCTGTTTCAGGCTGAAAAAAGAGGCCTTTAGAAGGAGTCATTATTTGGGTTTTCATCTGCTCTAGATTTCATTCCTCCCCTCCACACCCCACCCCACTCCACAGCCCACCCTGTGCGGTGGGTCTGTGAGGAAATGTGCCAATTGTTAATATGTTTTTCCAGCTAATTATTTTCATTTGCTGTGGGCCCCCTTGCGGTGATTGCCTCATTTTCCACACTTAATTACATAAGTCTCAATGAGAGGTGCACAGCAACGAAAGGAAAACTCTCTGCGAAAGAAAATGAAACTGAAACTAACACTAAAAGAGAGACAGAGAAAGATAGTGATAGTGATAGTGAGAGGGGTAGAGAAATGAATTAAATAAATTATCAAATATTCATGTTAATTTGACTGAATACGAATTTCGCTTTCATTGTTTGCATCGTTCGCTTTTAATCAGAGTTTCCCCCCCAGCTTTAATTGACTTTTCCGTAGGGGAGGCGGAGGCCTCACCATGGGGCTGGGAATTTCTTATAAATAAAACAAGATTTTCCCCTAAACTTTGAAGAGGTCTCCGTGCGGCATCATCCGCAATGCCTCTAATTGGTCCACGGGTGCGGTAGCTGCCTTTACGAGTCTTCTGTCTGTGTTCCCCTTTTACGACATTGTATACGAGTGCTTTTCCACTGATTCCAGCTCAGGGAAGGACACCCTGTAGAGTGTTTAAGCCGCATGATCGAATGACAATAGCGTATGGCAGCTGACACGCGAACTATGGATGCTCTTTCTGTTGTTGTTGTTCCTCCTGCTGCTGTTTGAGGGAGCCCCGGAAGTGGGAGGCTCTGAAGATAAAAAGCCCCGATCTGAGTAATGAAGCTGCCTTTATCGTTGGGTTCTGAAGCTGTCGCTGTAGCTGACACTGTCGTTGGGTCTGACATTCCCCCGCCCCACTGCTATCTGCTATCCGCTATCTGTTGTCTTTTGTGGAACTGCAAATTGCTTAATCAATTGGAAATTGTTCACTCGCATGCAAATGTCAATGTGACAGCTGCCGGCAATGCTTAACGCTGTGGAGGGGAAGTTGCGAAGGGGTGAAAATACGGAGGAGCGGAAGTGCCGCCATTAAAATGAAAACTCTGCAAAAATGAAAGTTCATTTTCCATTCGATAAGTAAACGGCGGCATGGGGCGTGCAAGTAAATACTCGAGCAGAGAAACAGAAACTGTGTCAATGTTGGCGGCAATTACAAATTGCAATTAATAAATGAAAATTAAATGCGGCAGCGGCTGATTGAATAATTGCTTGAATGAGTGACTGAATGATTGAGTGCATGAGTGAGTGAATGTTGAGCGGGCGCTCAGGCCTTCTAAGCCTTCGATACGCGACTGCCGCCCCTGAACTACTTGGAACAGCCAAAAGCTATAGCTGTGTGGATAAATAATACTTATACTTTTATACATATGTATGTATGTATGTCTGTATGTATGTAGTATACATATGTAGTAAACTCATGCATTACACATCATATGTCGATCCGAAACAAGTGCGCAGTTCGTGTTTGCTCAATGCAATGTTCTACCAGAGAGATCTAATGAGGCCACCACATGGGAATATGGAAATGCAAATGGGGATTCCTCTGATTTGGGTTGTTGCTGTTTTTGATGCATCTCTCCGCTGAGCGCCTGATTTGTTGCCAATCAATCATCTGCTTGTTGGCAGCATTCCAATCTCCCCCACAGAGATCGTAAGATCCATAGAACCCATTGATCCAGAGATTCCAGAGCTATTGTGGAACTTTGTCACCGCATGGGGCCTCCAGCTGCGATCCAATTTGCGGGAATCTGAGAATCTGGGAATGTTTTGGAGGCATCGCTTCATCGGAAACTTCAAAAAAGCAGCAGCAATGGTTTCACCTTTTCGGGCATTTCTGCGCGCTCATTTCCGTGTCGGACTCGGAGAAGCTCTGGGAGCGAGGTCTGAGCGATGATGAGCTAAAATAAAAAGATCACATTTATCATGACATGACAACTGATGAAACAAATTCATTCCGCAGCAGCAGCAGCAGCAACAAAGCGCAGTGTCAAAGACCCTCCTCCTCCCCTGGGGACATGGCCTCTTTCCCCTCCCTTCGGCTATGGCAATGGGCTTTCCCGGAGATGTTGTCTTTTAATGGCATGGCCATAAAAGAAGTATAAATCCGGAATGGAAATCCTTTTCCGAGCGAGAACAGCATCAAATTATTAAACATAAATTTCCGGCCGTGCCGTTTGCCCTTTATCTCTGCTATGAATACATGAATCCATCCATGAATACTCGTGTATATATTGTGTGTGTGTGTGTGTGTGTGCACGTAATTTTCCAACAATTTATCATCTTTTTGTGAAATTGCTTCGATGACACACGAAACAACAAAAGCGCCAAAAAGACCCCCTGGGTCCCTGGGTCCTGGGTGCCGTGCCCGCCTATAAATATTTCCTCCTCTAATTGTTTGGCAAGCATACCCGAATCCCCCCATCGCCCCCCAATCCTCCAGTCCTTCAACTTCCCCACAAAAGGGGTTCATCTTCCACGACAGAAGATGCTGCTCTGCTGTGATGCCAGGATCCTAATGAATTTACGCACACACGTCCTCAGACCCAGACTGCCTCTCCTTCTCCTTCTCCTGTCCTCGTCCTCGTCTGTGTCGCATAAATTTTCCTTTCTCCGCAGAAAATATTTTACGTCGTCTGGTTGTCTCCTTTCTCTCGACTTCAGCCTGGTCCTGGCCCAGGTCCTTCTGTGGTTCCTTCGTCGCGCTCCTCCTCCGATGACTGCCCGCTCCTTTATGTTGTTTTGTGTTGGCGGACAGTGCGCAAATTTTTGGTCTTTTGGCTCATAAATCATCAAATTACAACAATTGCACACTCGCTGCGCTTTTGTGTGGCTCGACAACGGCGGGGAAAAACCAGAACCAGGACCAGGACAAGGACCAGAACCAGGGACAAAGACGAGAACGAGAACGAAAACGAGAACAGGCACGAGACGTTGCCTTTTTGCCAATTTGCACGGACGACGAGGCAAAACATCTGTCCCGTCCTTTGTCCCCGGTTCCGCCCACCTGCGCAATAAAAATTCCCATTTTCCATTTCCCTGTCCAGCATTTTTACATTTTCCAGCTGCGAATCCTGCACTAACCCTACTATTCTCTTCTCTATCTTTGCAGATCCCCCTCGGAGCGCTCAGGGAAGGGATGTTGCGGCCAGTGGTTCGCAGGACCTCCGCTGCGTGCTCTCATCGCCGTCGTGGCCCTGGGCGGCGTGGCCTGCGCCCTGGGCGGTGCGGCCCTCGGTGCCACGGGTCTGGCAGGTCCCCCCAATTCGCACCTCACCGCCGCCCTCCTAATGATTGGTGAGTAACCATTACATAATCGTGGGGTAGGGGGAGAAGGGATGGAGGTAGGGTAGGAGAAGGCCATTAAAGCCAGCGACCGCCTTTTGATGTCCGCTGATGTTTACACGACTCCAAGTCCCCGAATGAAAAGGTCTCTTGTTCGCAATTGTTGCAATTGTTACAATTACTTTAATGTCCAATGTCCACTGTCCGCAGTACGCTCGTTTCTTTCTTTCTTCTGCCGCCCAAGAGATACCTGTATCTGTATCTGTATCTGTCACTGTCTCTGTCCGTGCCTCCGCACCTCTGACCCAGTTCGCAGAGCAAACAAATCTGCGACCAGACAGATGCCAGATTGCCATGTGTCAATATTGCCAAAGCATTTAGTTCCGGCTGCGATTTCTTTGCATTGTTTGGGATGGACTTACCCCGCCACCAGGTGCCCGATTTGTGGAGATCAACAGGTGGCAGGGCTCCAACTGTAAAGGAGAACACCATCCATTCCATTCCCTACTTCTAGGGGACTCTGACGAGCACAACTTTCGACTCATTCATGAATCATTCATGCTGCTGCTGCTCACCTTACATAACCCCCAGACAGCGGGGCCAAGTGCAGTCGGCCCACATGCGCGAGTATGTGTGTACTATGTATCCACAAAGTGCGACGTCTCTAATCAATTGCCGCCGCGTAGTTGCTCGTAGTTTTGCGCTCTCGGAGCGTGACATTGCGCCATTTTCGGCGGCAATTACCCGAAAGTTTTTACATAATTTAATGGCAATCAAGCCAACCAGTCAGCAAATCTGCCACTGCTGCTCGTGCGAGCACTATATGGAGGCAGCCACATATTCGTAATAGCGATAGAAAGAGAGAGAGAGTCCCATCATGACGAAGAGGATGATGATGATGATGATGATTATTATGGGGCGAGGTCTCTGGTCTCTCTCGGGCAGAGATGTCACAACGAGGCCCACAAAACTGTGAGCAGCTCATGACAATTTTCGCTAATAAAATCGTATGCCTATCCCGGTTTCAAATCTGCCATCATGACATGCTCCGTTGGCTCCACCGCCACCTCCACCTCCGCCCTGTCCTGGCCCACAAGAAAGGAAAACAAATGAAATAAAATGAAATGAAAGTGAAAGTCTTGCTGCCTGCCTGCCGGCCTGCCACTTTGATTAGGCAGCAAGTTGGAGCTGGAAGCTGTCTAAGTGAGTCGGTAATTGCGGCCACGCCCACTCGGACCAAGGCTAATTAAATCTGCAGCTAAATGGAAATATGAGACAGGAGACAGTAGCCTCCATCCATCCATTTATCCATTTGTGGGGCGGCACTCGAACAAACTCTAAAATTAAGTTTTTCCCCTCCATTCCACAGGAGTTGGCGTTGTGCTGGTGACGGTGAGTGGTGCCGCCTGGCGGATGACTGCGCCTGGCGGTCAGAGCTGCCTGGGCTTGGGCCTGGGCACCAGCGTGGATTTGGGCCGCTGCGGACGACGACCGTGCAGCCGCGGAGGCGGGGCGCCGCACGGCCTGCTCTACCCCGAGTTCCAGCACCGACCACCGCCGCCCTCCTACCAGGCCAGCATGCAGGAGTACCGTCTGAGGTGAGTAGCGTGGGAGGGGAGGGGGTATAAATTACCCGCAAGGACAGCAGCAGTTGCCGGATGTGGTCTGTGGTGGCTGCCACTCGCATGTCCTGCCGCAATTAATTGCATTATGCATAATTATGGACTGGCCAAAGGACTGCTCGTACCTATTCCACGACTTACCGGACCGCCTTTTTCCTGTCGTGCGGCATTAACCAGAACCCGAACCCGAACCAGAACCGTTCTCAATCCGTTCTCTCTCTTTTTCCGCTTTTTCGCAGACTTTTGCTGTTGGACCGCGATCGCCAGAACGGGGTGGTGCGTGGAAACTCGCCGCCGCCCACTTATCGATCTCATGCGGGCAGCCTGCTGAGGTAAGTACTTCCGCTTCCGTTACGCTCCCTGCCCCACCCCTGCCACTGCCCCGGCCCTTACCGCATACCCAAACTCTTCCCCTTCCATTCGTGAGTTATTTGCAAAGTTTGGCGCCTGCCAAACCACAAAATGTTTTCCAGGCCAGAGAAAGGAGCATGCGGAGGGGATTGCCAGGGGATCTGTGATGTGGGTCCCAGGAAAGGACAGGGCGGGGGTGGCTCTGCTGCTGCTGCTACTGCAGCATCAGCAAAAGCGTTTGGCATCGGCGTCCGTGGTTTGGCTTTGGCTTTGTGCGGTTTTCGAGGGTGTCAACATTGACACATCGCTTTCCCAGGGGCTCCAAGTGGGGTGTGGCTGGGGTGGCGTGGATGAAAAGTTTCTGGGGAATTTTCAATTTTTTTCTGCTGCGTGGAACGGATGACTTGAATCGGCGGCTTGTCTGATGATGGAAGCAAACATTCGGCGATTGAATTTGAAACTAATTGAAGAGATAAGGCCCAAACCGATTGGCGCAATCCTCGAGAATGGAAGCCACATCCACTCGAAACAGGAGACACCTCCCCCCCCTGTCCGGAAGACAGAAGCAATTTGGGAGGCAATTTAAACGACAAAGGACTGGGCTGTTGGGCCCCAGAAGTGGGCGGATAATTGTCGCCTGGAACGCATAATGTCGGGGGCTAATGAGAGAAGTATACTTTTATTGCCTGCAAATTGTGGCCGCACAACGGAAGGAAAGGAAGGAGCATAAGAGGAGGAGAAGAATTAAGCTTAATTTTGCTAGAATTTGTTATGCAAATAATCGTTGAAAGTCTGCAGGGCAATTGCCATTCAAATTCAAACATATTTATGACAAATTAATTTACTTCAAATGACATCTAAAGCCAGAGCGGGTGGAGAGGAGTGTGTGGTGTGATGTGGAGTGGAGCACTTGAATATTTATAGTGTGTTGTGTGCGTAATGCAAATGGAAAGTCAACAAAGCAACAACTACATCATGAGCTTTTCATCTTTTGGGGGTTTTCCCGCAATGCCACAAAAAGGGAAGCGGATGTGGATGTGGATGTGGAAGAGGAAGCAGGAGCAGGCACAGGAAGTATGTCAAAAAGCAAAACTTATGCAAAGTGTGTGGCAAGAAATCACGGCATACTTTTAGGCGGGCGGGACCCTAAGTGCGTGTCTCCATGTGTCTTGTCCGTACGTCCGTCCGTCCGTCCGACCATCCGTCTGGGTGTCTCTCTGGCTGGGTGCGTATTCAAATGATGTTGCCCAGGAGAAAGAATTTCTGGGAAATTTTCTAAAATATTTACACACACGCGCGCACATTTGAAGAGCTTCTCCTCGAGCTGCATAACAAGCAGGCAGAGCCAGAGCCAGCCAGCCAGCCAGCCAGCCGCCGGAGGAATGGGGCAGGATATGGCCCAGGCATCAGGAACAGCAGCATCAGCTCAGTGCAGAACAGAACTTGGATCTAGGCTGTTGGCCAAGTCAATTAAACAAACAAAGAGGCAGGCGAGCCGAAGTGCTGCGAAAATTGCCTGTTATGCACAGCACACATCACAGCAGGGACTTGAATAGAATGGACTTCTGAATGGCGTGGAATAGTGTGGACCAGAATGGAGTGCTGGAGTGCTGGACAATAGAATGGTATAGATAGGATAGATGCGACCCGTAGCACCATTCCTATGCAAATGACTTATTTTCCTGTTTCCTTTATTTCCTGCATTGCATCTTTGTCGGAACAATTAAATGCCATTTTACATACTCCAAATTGCTTCATACAATTTGTGCAAGTGTTCGGGATTTTTGAGATATTCTAAAGTCACGCCCAACGCCCCCTATAGATGGTATATACATATGTATATAATCGTACAGGTCTGTAAGCCAGTTTTAGCCAGGTTCGGCTGGGGCGGGAAAGGCATGGGAAGGGGCCATTATGTGCAGATGAGCGTATGAGTGTTGACTTTTGGGCCCTGGCGACTGAAGTGTGAAGTGTCTGTGATTTGGGTCTGCCAGACGGGCAGACAGACTCCCCACTCGTACTCGGGTATGCCACGTGGCACATGGCAACAATTGCCACAGCGGCCTTTTGTTATTTAAATTGACAAAGATGAGAATATATGTATGTATGGGGGGTGTTTTGAGATTGAGATAAAGATAGAGACTGATATTTGAATAGGTTTCGTCCTTTGCCGTCCTGTGTAGTCAGAGATAGACAGAGCTCAGAGCTCAGACTCTGGTCATGGCTCTGGCCCCCTTCCCATGCATGCAAATTTGTGCATTTGGTTAACATATTTGCCATCTTCTTATGGCCAAAAGGGGCAAACAATACCGAATTGACTTTGGCTCATGCTGTGTAAATAATTCATGCATTTGATTCACTTACTTCCAGGGCCCCACTGACCACACTTCGTTCCGGAATGGGTGTAGGAGGCGGCGGCGGCGGCGCTGGCGGCACCATCAGCAGCAGCATGGGCGGATCCGAGTACAGCCTGCCGCCCAGCTACCGGTCGCGCAACGCCACCCCCGCCAGCTTCGTGTGCGGCGAGCGGAGCATTGAGACAGCGCCTTCGGGTAGGCTGCTGGCCAACGAGGACCTCCATCTACCGGAGCCGTCGCTGGCCGAGCAACTGACGAACTACACGGCGCTGCAGTCGAACACGTTGCTCACCTCGGCCATTGTGGAAATAGAGCGGGATGCCAGTGCCACACCGCCATCCCCACCAACAACAGCGAAAGCCACATCCACAGCAACGAAGGGCAAGGATCTGGTGACCATTGTGACCATATCGCAGGCAGACAGCGACAGCCCCCATCTGCACACCCAGAGGCATTCAGCTGGAAAGACGACGCACAGCCAAACCCAGACCCAGACCCAGACCCATACCCAATCACCTGGCCAGGCCAGTGCACTCGATCAGATCGATATATTGGCGCATCTGTAACCGAACGAATCGGTGTCCTCGGTCCCGACAGAAGTGGATTAGTTAGTTTCGTTCGATTCAACTCGTTCGTTCACTCGTGTTAACCCAAAGGTATTTATTTGTACGGAACTATGGCTCTGCTCCTAAATGAATAATGTAATTCGTACTTGCTAATCTGTAACTGTAACTGTAACTGTAATCCGTATTCTGTAACTGTACTTTGTAAGCGGCATTTAGCTGGTAAGATGTTTGTTGTACTTGAATGTGTTGAATTTATTTTTGTAAGCATAAGGAAATGCGCAGCGTAGGTATTACGAATTCTAGATACATGCAATTATACATACATACATATACCCATTGAAAGAAAGTATTAACATATTCCAAAAAAAAAACAAAGAAAACCGAAAGAAAATGTTAAAAAAAAAAATTACACATCTGTAGAAGAGACTTCGGCTAGGAGCGAAGCAAACGTACACTTTACAGCGGATAATCGGATATTACCAGATTTTTGTATACTATATCCAAGTGTCCCAAAGTTAATTGATGTGTTTGATATGTTATGTACCCCCTCCCACCCTGTAAAGTGTAAGGAGAACTCAACCCACTATCGAACTGTAAATACGAGATTTCGAGTGCATTTGTAGCATGTGTTAGGCGTAGGCCACACTCATCCCACTCCCCCTTACACCCACTCCAGTAAACTATTAAACAAAGAGATAATATATATATATATATAGATGTACAATGTATGTATCTACTGGATATATGCGGCCAGTGCATATATCTGTGTAAATTCGCAACGGAACGCTACGGTGACAAAAAAATTTGGCGCGCATTTTCGGAAAACACGAATATCCAACTGAATACTGAACACTTCGATTCGATCTGATTTCGATTTCTGAACAATTCGCGTTTCAAACAAATAGTAGGTAGAGCTACCCCATAATGATATGTTAAATTACGACTAAATTGTAGCTGCTGTGCTATTTGTGGACTGCGTGGGTGTGTCCTGCCGGGCCCCTGTCAAACATCCCGACACATCCTGCACGAGTACAATTCACACGCTACACGCCACACACTACACACCACACACAACACACACTAACTTAAAGTCCTTTCTGTAATGTGCGGGGCGAAGTAAACTAAACATGTAATAAAAGAACCCAACAAATCGTTGAAAAATGCCACAAAAACCTCAAATTGTTTTTCTTTCTCACACTCCACAGCACAGCCATGAGTCCTTTGGCCAAACACTCACATACTCCCACGTCCTGATCCTGCTTAATCTAGCGTAAATTTTGTTGGCATCGTCAGGCCTGCGAAGCTTTGTAGTCGCCACAAGCGGTCCCAAAGCGTGACGGGGCGGGGCGTGTGGATATAGAGAAACGGGTGAGAGTTCCAGTGATTAACACCAAACGCAAAAATTCGAAAAGAACTCCCAGTCAGAGCATCCCAACCGCCTCCCAACTCACACCTCTTCTCGAAACACCAAAAAATAAAATACCAGGCTCAAATGGGTAAAACAAAAATTGGTTAAGCATGAAATTGCGGTAGAAGTGCGTGCTTTTCGGTACACGTCTGCTCCACCTCGTCCCAGTGTCGTGTAGTCAATATCTATATCCCACCCAAATAGAAAAATCAAAATCTCGATTACAAAAACCACGTAGATTTTTGGCAATTTTAATAAAGCAAAAACTCAAAAAAAAAAATGGATGTCGTTTTTTCGGTTCGCAATCGATTGGAAGGCTCTCCCGACCACGAAACTACATGACACAGTCCAATCGCCTCATAAATAGAAGAAGAACTGCCCTTAAATTTGCAATTCAACAGAAATCAGCAGAAAGAAACTTCCTTTTTGTCGCCACCCCAAAAGTATGCCATGGGAAAATTTAAAGTTTTTTTTTAATCCCCAAGAGTATTCAATTATTTGTTTAAACCCTACAGTGGGTATTGGCCATGTTTTCAAAGCTATTATAGTACATACATATCTCTCGTTCAAAATGCAACACCTTTCTCAGCTCACGACGAGTCCCACTATCAATCTGCAGCAAGGATTGTTTCGAGGAATCTTAGGAAGGAGCAAATACCCCAGCCAAAGAAGACATATACATATTAAACGCGAAAAAGATTTCGAAATTTATTCATTTGCTCATCATGACAATTTACACTCAAATTATGGATAATTTACAACATATATTTTTAAATAATAAATATGCGACTCCCTGCTGACAACCTGTTCTGACTCTGCCTCCGACTCTGTCTCGCCTCCGTCTCTGATGCCAATCGAATTCGATCTTGGAAATCTTTCGCGCTTCGCGATCTGTTAGCGTTTAGTTGGGTTGATCAACAGTGTTCGGTAGGTATCTCGATTTGTCGCTTGAACTAAGTAAATTAACGCTGGCGACAGTACATGCATATTTAGTATAAGGTTGGGTAAGGTAAAGTTGGTTCGGTTATGATACGATCGGTTGTGAATAAATAATAGTTCATTTTGTGTGAGGACATAGTATTTTGCTAGCTAATTCGATTTCGTCTCGTTTTGCAGTTTTTCATTCAGATTTGATTTTCTGATTACAGATTTGATTTACGTTGATATTTCATTTGATATGACGCGTGAGGGTCGTTGATGTTTTAAAATTAGGATAACATTTGTGCGGCACAATTCAAACAGATAGAAATAATAATAATTACGCATTAGCGCTCTCACAATCCGTCTACGATTGCTCTTGATTATCGTTGATTGTTGGTTTGATTGATTGATTGATTGATTGGTTAGTGTGCGTGATCCCTGAAGTCAAACAAAATCAGCTGGCCGCTGGCTTAGCGCGCGTGATTCTTGCAGAAGGGACGTCCGCCCTTGTTGTAGAAGCTCTGGCCCTCCAGGTTCTGTTTGCAGTACTATGGAAGATACGCGGGCGATTAGTTGACAGCTCATCGGAGGATGAGGATGTCCCCTCTTAGAGAGTACTCACAGTGCAGTTAAAGCATTGGCTATGGTAGTTGTGGTTGAGAGCCTCCACCCATCTGTCGCCGGCTTCGACGGGGAAGCCGCAAGCGAAGCACTTGGTGGTGAAGAGTTCGTTCCAGTCGGCCTCGCAGTAGGCGTTACCGTCCTCCAGGAAGAATGGCCTGTTGCCGAAGACCTTGCCGCACTGGCCGCAGGTGAAGCACTCCGGATGGAAGTGCTTGCCAATGGCGTTCAGGCAATCGCCCTGGAATAAAACATTCTTTGTAGAGAACAGCATCTCAAGTGGTTCTAGCTTGCGACTCACCTTGATCTTGCCCGCACACTTGCTGCAGGTGGGGGCCAGATACTTCTCGAAACAGTACTCGCAGTAGAGATCGCCCTTCTCCTCAACGAAGCCGATGTCCTGCAGGGGACGGCGGCAGTTGCCGTTCACACAGATAAAGTGATCTGGGCACCAGATGCGGCCCAGCGCCGTGATGAAGGGTCCTCTGCAAAAGCGTTTCTCGTATTAGTTTTGAATTAATTCAATCAATTTAATCAACAAACAAAGAGCAAGCTGCAAGCGGGGATAGGGATACTTACGAGGTGATCTCCTTATTGCACTGACAGCAAATGGGTCGCTTACCATCCTTGAGCAACTGACTTACGGCCTTCTCGTTCTCCTCGGACATGGCGGCCTGTCCCTCGCTGTGTGGGCCCAAGGCCTTAACACTCACGCTGAAGCTGGGAGCAGGACTTCCCTGGCTGTGCTGCTGAGTGCTGCTGTTTGTGGCTGTGGCAGTGGCAGTGGCAATGGGAGTGGCAGTGGGAATGGTGACTGAGCTGACTGCATTTACTGTATTGGAACCCTGCTTGGGTTCGATGTAGGATCTACGATCGGCTGCATGGGTGGCACCAGTGCGCCTTAAATTGTTCCTGAATGCCACTGGCTCGGGCGTCTGCTGGGCCGTCACCTTGCCATTATCACAAATATCGAGAATCCTGCTCATGGGATGCTGGGCTGGCAGCTCCATCTGCAGCTGCTGCTCGACTCGTGGCGCCTGCGGCTGGGCCTTCTGCGTGCCCATCTCTGCGATCGACTCCTTTTGCGGATGCAGAGCCACCACAGACTGCAGGGCCACCGGCTGGGTGGGATCTATGTTCTTGAAGTCATCGAGATCCAGGCGCTTGCGCACTATCATCGGACTCTTGGACAGGTTGGAGCTGCTGTTGCTGCGCAGGCTCAGGGTGCTGCCAGCGTGCGAGAGGGGAGCACTCGACCCGTTGGATCCACTGCCGCCGGCCAGACGCGCCTCCAGCATGTTGGAGATTATCTTGCCCGCTTCCTGCATGAAGGCATTGGTCTGGTCGCCCATGTTGATCTTGCCAATGGACTCGGCCAGCATGGCGGTGGCATCCGCATCTGCATCCTGCGGCTGCTCGCCTTGGCCGGCCGGTAAGTCAGTTGCCTGCTGGACGGGTCGTGGCAGCGTGCCATGGTGGGGGTTTGCATGCGGATTAGGTGGCTTGGCGGCTGCTGCAATAAACGGAGTAAAAACACAAGGCGAGCGGGTTAGGTCAGGGGCATGCAAATTAGTTGGCGCAACTTAATCTTAGTTAATTAAACTCAATCAAAATTAACCAAAGTCATCAGAGAGCCCGACTGAAATCAGCTATTCAGTAGGAAGCTGATCCAGAAAGTGGGCTCGATCTAATCCTTCGATAAAACAGCGGGTTAGAATAACTCTTGAACAAACATGGAGAACAGAACGGAACATCAACAGAGAACACAACGAGGTGGGGGATGCTCTTCACCTGATCTGTACGTTGCAGCTGTTGCACAGAGGGATGCGCACTCCTGGTGCAGCGGCCTGGTTGAGGATGCCACGTCCGCGCTTGGGCGCCGATGTGGCCCCGAATCCTCCTTTGCCGTTCTTGACGCCACCACCTGCGGAACCATCGACATTAGAGTTCAAGTTCAAGTCGCTCAAGTTTGGCGGAAAGGAAGCTGGCGCTGAAGTTGGCGCAGTTGCAGCGGCGATGATTGACTTGGGCGCTGCTGGAGCTTGGGCTGGAGCTGGAGCTGGCGCTTGAGCTGTGATGGAAGCGATGGATGGCCGAGAGGCCAGATTAGGTTTGCTGTTATTGCCGTTTCCAGGGATGTTGCTCCTGAAGGCCGAGCAGGCCTGGTTATTAGTCGTGGTAGTAATAGCAGAAGCTTTGGTTAGACTGGCGGATTGCGCTGATCTGGAGGCGGATGCTGACACAGATGATGATGCTATTGCGGATGCTGATGATAGCGATGAGGAGGTGGCTTTCGTGCTGCTCGCGAAGGCGCTCTGTTGCTGCTGCTGTTGCTGCTGCTGCTGCTGTACCACCGAAGACGAAGATAATGCGGACCTCTGCTCTTTTTGTTGCTGTTGCTGAATTTGCTGCTGCGCTAGGAATCCAGGCGGGGGAGCCACCAGCTTTTTGGCCGAGGGCGCGGCTCCGTACCCGGGCTCAATGTAATCCACCGGTACCGGCTTTAGGGGGAACTTCGCGTCGAAGGTGGGCGATCGCAGCTGCGGGAAGTTGCTCTCTCCCATGGCGGAGGCGCGGGCGCTGATGGCCTGCGACAGGCTGGTCAAGCTGGTGATCTCCTGCTCCAGGCCCGACAGCCGTCGCGCCTGATTGGCCACATATCCCGTCTTTCCATAGGAGGAGCGACGGTCCGTGGACTCCGACTGGGCCTGCGACTGCGACTGGGATTGGGACACCGATTGGGACTGCGATCCAGTGCGGATCTCGATGGTCTTGGCACTCTGGGTGCGCTCAAACTCTTCGGTGACCTTGCGACGACGCTCGATCTGGGCGTTGCCCACCTGGGTCTTTGTCTGGCTCTGGCTCTGCGACTGCTGCTGCTGTTGCAGCTGCGAGGACTGCTCCCGCTTCTGTACCGTCAGATTTCCGATCTGGCGCTCCGTGAGCGTCTCTGGCTGCTGCGAGAAGCTCTGGCTGCCGGACTGGGAGCTCTGCTCCGAGTGGGCCAGCAGCTGGCCCTGGTAGCTCTGGCCCGTGGTGATGGAGCCGGCCTGCAGGCGTGGCGCAGGGCCCGAGACGGAGAGTAGATTCGAGTCTGGCTCCTTCATGCGCGGCGCTCGGATGGCGGAGAGCGGATTTGGCGGCGGTCCTGGAGCTGGCGAGCGGCAGCGGGCGAGGCAGGGGGAGAGGGCTCGCTGGTCGTAGGCCCGGGCGTGGGTGGCCGTGCACTCTTCGAAGCAGAGATTCTCGGGCGTCTGGTAGAAGGGGATGATGGGCGCCGGCTTGTTGATCATCGAGGGCGTGAAGGGCCGCGTGGGCGTCTGCGCCTGGTCGGGGCGGTCGAACTCATCTAGCGATTGAAAAGCCATCGTTACTGGACCCGACCGATCCTCGACTATGATGGGCACCGACGGCTGCGGCATTGGCTGTCTCCTGGGAGCGGTTTGAGCCGCAGCCGTTGGCGCTAATCTTGGTCCGGCGCGCGGTCCCGGTCCCGATCCCGAAACCTGCGCTATGGGTCTATGTACAGTGGAATCGGACTGGCACTGGGCACTGGGAGTCGCCTGGGGGGCATCTACAAAGGCCAGCGGCACATTCTCGCGCAGCTCTTGCGGCTCCGGCGTGCGGATGGGACTCTGGGTGGGCAGCGATGTCCAGTTGCGCTGGTACTTGGGTATGGTGTCCGCCTTGTGGAGGCCGGACTGCACGGCTTTGCCCTTCAGGTGGCTAAGCGGGGATGGTGGCGGGAAGAGGATCTCCGAGTGCTCCAGCTCCTCGGCCGTCTCCTCGATCAGCTCTTGGGCCTCGTACTTGCTTAGGGCGGATGTATGTGCATAGGAGGAAGCATTGGTGGGCATTGGTGCAGCGAGGGAGGATCTGCCGTTGAAGGAGTTGTTGTTGTTGTTGTTGCTGTTGCTGTTGATGTTGTTGTTGTTGGTGGTGGACTGTTGGACTGTGGAAGAGGAGTTGCTGTAGGAAGCGGAAGCGGAACAAAGCGAGGTCGTGTGAGAATCGGAGTACCCCTGGCGTGTCTGGTTCTCTGTGAGTGTCTGTTGTGCGGAGGTCTGCTGTGACTGCTTCTGCTGCTCCTGCTGTTGGGAGAGCTGCGACATTGCCTGCTGGTGCTGTTGTTGAGTTCTCTGTGTCTCCTGTTGAGTTCTCTGTGTCTCCTGTTGAGTTCTCTGACTCTGCTGGATCTGTTGTTGGCTAATCTGCTGCTGCTGCTGTTTAGTTTGATAAAGTTGCTGTTGGTTTTGTTGGATCTGCTGTTGGGATATCTGACTCTGCTGGAGCTGTTGCTGAGATTGATGGTCTCGTTGGTGTTGCTGCAGCTGGCTTATCTGATTCTGCTGGCGTTCCCGTTGATTCTGCTGGATCTGTTGGAGCTGCTGCTCAGTTTGTTGACTCTGCTGGAGTTGGGTCATCTGCTGGGAGGAGCTCTGCAGCTCCTCCTCCTTCTTGTGAAAGTAATCAAGGCGCTTCTGGTTGCGCTGCTGCGCCTTGCAGTACTTCTGGTACTCCAGATCGGTCTCCGTTTCCCGGGACGCCGAGCAAATGGAGGCACGCGGCGTGTTTGTGGCTGTGGCATTGGCGGAGGAGAGCGGCTCGCGGGACGGCTGGAATGCTTGCATGGCCGCGAATGCCGACGACTTGCGTCGCTTCTCGGACTCCGTCGTGAAGTACTCCACGGAATGCGGCGGCTCCGGCCGGATGCCGAGCTCCTCCTCGTGGTCGAGCACCTGAAATTCATGCTTCTTCAGTTCCTGCTGCTTCTGCTCTTCGTCCACGCGGTGGGTGGCATTCTCGGGGTTCAGGGGGGTGTAGCCACGGTCCGGGGCCGTGCACAGGGCGTCGCACATGCTGAGGTGCTCTTTGGGGGTGGGCAGGTCGATCAGGTGGATGGGCACGTCGCGGTCAAAGTGGCCCTCGAAGGGGCGTTCGGGGGCGGTGGTGAGGGCGCTGACGAACGGGGACTTGGGTCGGTAGTCGTCGCGCATGTACGGCTTCATGTCCATGGGCGGCGGCATGTACGGCTCGGTCTCCTCGGGCAGGGGGATGCCCTGGTCGGCGGGCGGGGCGAAGCGCAGCTCAAACTCTGGCGCCGTGACCATGGCCTGGGTGAGACGAGATCCGCGTGGCGGGGATTCGCGCAGGAGTGCAGGTGGATCCGCCACAGGAGCGGGTGGAGGTGGCGGTGGTGGAGGAGGCTCAGGCGGAGCGGCTGCAGCAGATGCTTCTTCTGCGGCTGCTGCCTCCGCTTCGAAATCGTCGCCGCAGGGCCGCGGGAAGGGGCACTCGACCAGGTGGAAGGGCACCTCGGGAGCCGTGGTCAGGACCCGGATCATGGGATTGATCCACTCCTTGGGCATGGGATTGGGTATCTTGGAGGGCGGTATATGGCGCACGGGCGCAATCTCGAACTTGATCTCGGGCGTGGGCTGGAAGAGGCGCTCGCTCTCGAGGATCTGGCAGCGGTGCTCGATGACCAGACCCTCGCGATCCTCACCTGCCTCCGGTATGGTCTCCAGCTCCGTGGGCAGCACCATCGGCAGCTCTTTGTACTCGGGCTCGTCGTTGAAGACGACGTGCCGCGTGGCTTGGGCAGGAGTTGGGGCGGGTGTGGACACGGGACTGGGTGTCACCTCCCTTACCATGTCGATCAGCTTGTAGGTGCTCAGCGGCACGGACAGCGAGTCCACGCACTCCTGGGCACTGCGCCTACCCGAGGCGCACTCCTGCACGTCCTGCGCACTGCCGTAGTCCACCTGGTAGTCGTCGAACTCAGACCCGGACTGCTCCTGCATCTGGTAGGCCGCCACCTGGGCCGCGTACATGCGCTGGTACTCCTCGGAGGTGGTCGTGGTAGTCGTCGAAGTGGAGGTGTAGCTGTCCGAGCTGGACTCCTGCTCCAACAGACGCTGATTCGTCAGCTGCGGCGCCGAGTAGCTCTGCCACTGGGCAGCGGCCTGTGGCGCTGATGCCGCTGGCGGCACTTGCTCCGGCTGCGGATCGAGGCGCGCCGTGGCACTTCCGGGTGGCAGCGGCGGCACTTGCTGCACGGGATTGGCCACCACCACGTGCTGAGTCTCAGGGGGAGCGATGTAGAGGGGTGCCGCGGTGGGCGCTGCATGGCTGTCGTCCTGCGGCGGGGGCCAGGTGAAGCTGGAGCCGCGCTGCGACTGCCGGCTGGCAGCCAGGGCCACCTCGATGTCCATCTCGAAGCCGTCTTCGTCCTCGTACTCCGGCTGCAGTCCTTGCGGTTCCTCCTCGCTTGCTCCTTCAATGGACGCCGACACAGAAGCAGACAGCAGAGAGTGTTTCGTGTGGGTGTTGCAACGTGGGGTGTTTTTTTGTTTTTGTTTTTGTTTTGGGAGATTGCGGTTAGTTTGTACGGTTGGGGCAAATATAAGAGCAGAAAGAAATAAAAGACATTCGCTTGTTAGACGTTGGCACTGTGAAAGCGGCGGCGGCGGCGGTGCGGCAGCAGCTGTGTCGGTCCGGTGGTGAGAGAGCGGCAGCGGAATGCAGCGGGGGGCAAGGGAGAGAGAAAAACTACAACTACAACTAAACCATGAGGCAATAGGCAGCAAAAGTCAGCAGTAAACAGCGGTAAAGGCAAGGCATTGGCAATTGGCAATTGGCAACAATGTAATCTCTGTGCTGTGGTCTCCGATTCGGTTTTTCTACAGAGATTCGAATGGAATTAGTGTGGTTCAACAATCGCGCAGAGTGGTGTCGAGTGGTGTGGTGTGGTGTGATGTGGTGTTTGTGTGTGATATGGTATTGTTTCCTCTATTGGTCAAGCTTAAGGGGATGTGCTAGCAGTAAGGTAACTCAATCGGAGAATTCCATCGGAAACTTTCCCCTCTTGAGGGTCAGTGGAGTGGCGTAAGTGGTCAAGTTCGAAGGAATCGGAACAACCCAAGCGAATCGCAAAGTTTTACCCTTGTCTGCAGTTCCATTGACCATCAGCGACTATCCCCCACCCCCGTTCCACTCTCTGTGCAATTTGTTGACAGACAAACAGCGGCGAGGGGGGTGGTATCACTCCCCCGTATCACTCGAATGCCGTAAAAAAGCGGCAAAATATTAAATGCCATAAAACAATAGTCGAGGCTGAGTGGAAGAAGAACGCTTTATGCCCCTTGCCGAGGCAAATACATTTTTTTTTTTTTCTTATTTTCGGAGCCATTTTCATGGGGCGCAACAATAAACACACGCACACAGAAGGAGCAGGAGGTACCCCTTGATTGGAGTCTAATGGAGTGTGCTGTATTCCTGACAGTGTTCCCTTCAGGTTATCTCCCTCGACTAACCAAGGTATGCTGTAGTCGAAACGCTGACTATACTCGTACCCTCTGTACTTGTTCATATACAAACATTATATGGTGGGTATGGGTATGGGTGTGGGTATGGTTATGGGGGGTATGTGCTAGGCACGCATATTTACTTCCGTTTTTTATGGGCCCACGTCTGCCTGCAACTCTGTTCCAACCGCACCCCCTGCACACGTTTACCCTGTGCAAAAATGGCGTCGACAGGTAGTCATTGGATTTTATTATGCATAATTTGGTATTGGCTGTAATTTTGCAGAAATTGAAAATGGCAGAAACACACGACCAGGACCAGGACCAGGATGTGGAGCAGGATCCACGACGGGGACCCCAGACTGGGGCCCAGGACCTGGCACAAGGAAATGGTAGCATGGCAGAGCACCATACAAATAAACAAACAAACAAACGAATGAAACGAAACGAAATGAAATTATTGCCGCAAATATATTTTGTCATATGAAAAATGTTGGCAACAGAAACAGAAAGTTTGGTCATAATAAGAGGCCGCCAGGGCATTCAATCGAGAAACTTCTCTCCTCTCCAATTCGTTCTTTATATTTATTATTCTATTATTATTATTATTGCTCTTTCTGGCTCTTCATTTTTCGTGCTTTCCCAGAGAGACAAAAAGGCATGCAAAGTTGTGCAAAGATGGAAAATTCTTACGAGCAACATAATCAGGGACACAATTCGATTAGTATATGTACTAGCAAAGGTATATCTAAAGAGATATCCAGAGACAGACGTTAGGCAGTTTGCTTGAAGGTTAGGCTTAAAGCGCTTAAAGCATAGAGAAAATGCCTCTAGAGATTACTTATAGAGAGAGAGAGAGAGAGAGATCTGTGGAAGTATGGGGGAGATACAGATATATTTAAACTGTCGCAATTTATTGAGGAAAATTCATAAATATTTAATTCAATTTTGAAAGATATTCTAGCTAAAAACCGCTCAACGTGTGTCCATCTGGAGATTGCTTTCCCTTTCCCTTGGGATGCCCTTTGCTGGTGGCTTGGGGCTGGGGGATCGGATCTTGGACTTGGCAAGGGGAACCTGGCCTAATACGATTGGTATTGGTAACCGTAACCTAAAAGAAGCAGAAACCAAAAGTTATTCCGGGGATTATGGTTAATGATTCGAGAGCAGCAAGCGTAACCCCCGTTTCCTCCGCATTCGCGTGACGTGACTCCCTCGCAGAGCAGCCTAGGACAATAGTTTTCCCCCCAAGAGTGTGGATCCCACACAACAAACAACGAGCCGCGCGGCGTGGCGCGGAGCGGAGCAGCCAAATGCACCCGATAAATCTTGCGGCTGCCTCAAACTTTGACGAATGCCAGGCATGTGATGTATGGCCTCCTGGCACGCTCCAGCATGCGGCTCTGCTCCGAGTAGGTGGAGGCGGATGCTTGTTTGGATAATAATGGCTGGTAATTTATCTGCTTTCGTTTACATTTCCCGCCAGAGATGAACAGAGAGAACAGAGTGTGGAGCATGGGGAGCGTGTGTGTGCCTGCCTGGCTGCCTGTGCGTGTCGGCATTTGTGTAACGCAAACATTTGTTTGCCAGCGTACATTTTTTCCCCATGCCACCCGTGCGCCATCACCGGCTGGATGCCACACTCTGGTGCGGCTTCTGGTGTGGCATGAGGCAGCAAATTGGAAGTGGATTTGCTTTTAGCTGCTGGCTTTTGCCAGTTGCTTCCCAGATTGAACGAAGGCCGCAACCCGAAAACCCCAAATGATTGTTGCGGTTGTGCGTGATTTTCGCTTTGATTAGGAGATTGATTCCGCAGCCGAATGAAGATTTATGTGGCCAAAGCACCGAAGCACCCAAGGATCATCCAAGCATTCTCTTTGTCCCGCGCTAATTGTATTTTTAATTGCTTAACGAAAATGCCACTCGAAAAATTGGCTCAATAAATTGTGAGTGCCTGAGTATTGTTGCTTCTGCCCTGCCCGGCAGCCATATTTGTTGTTAATTCATTTCCGTTATGACAGCCAACATCGTAGCGCCGTAATTGATAAACCAACAAACAAACAAACAACCGAACAGAAAGGAGACCGCGAGCGGGAACAGAGATATGTATGTATATGCGTATGTACATATACATATGTATATTTATATTTATGTGCACGGGAATATGCCCAAGAAAAAAATACCAGAAATTGGTCCTCGCTGCAGCCCCACAAGCACAGTGAGCAGTGCCAGTATTCGCCCTTAGAGAAGTAGATCGGATATGCACCCAAAATTAATATCCACAATTTCTGAATTATATATTTTACTGCTGCAAGTGCCCATCCTGCTGTTGCTCACTGTCGCCGGCCTTCGAGTATTTGCGATGCATTTAAAGTGCTGTTCGATTCGGTTCTTTTCGGTTCGGGAAAAACCAAAGAGCCCAAGAACCGGCAACCGCAGAGGCAACGCAGCGGCAGTGGCAGTGCCGGAACGTGGCGGCAGTGGCAGGCAGCAACAACCGAACGGCAACAAGCGCATACATTTTATATCATTTATTTCTGTATACATGAATGGGTCCCGTCCCGGGTTTCATTTCACTTTACGTATACGCAACGTATCATTGGTTTTCGGTTCGGTTTGGTTTGGTATGGTTTTCCCGTCTTCCCTCTTCTACCTACGTTATTGAACCCCCCAACCACCGACCAACCCTTCCGTTCTGATTCGGTTTGCGTTCAAATTTGCATTCGCCTTTCAGCACTCGCGCCGGGCCACCGGAAGTGGAATCGGAAGATGCCTGCAATCGCATTGGCATTGAACATGCCGATACCCCTCTATATGTAGTACCCATCCCCCTGCTCCCACACACTCTGCCATCCATTGTGTCAGTTTTAATTTCCCGTCTGGGCCCCATAATAATGATAAACACATTTTAAAATGTTTCCACCTATTGATTGAGTTTGTCAACAGAATGTTTCCATTATTAACGCTGCAGATTCCGACTGCTGAATCCTGAGTCCTGCTAATGCAATTCATTTGTTGTCTGAATGAGTTTGAATATGTATTTGTGAGTGTGTGTGTGTGTGTGTGTATGGGCTCTTTAAAGCAACTCATTTGAATGGCAACGGACTCAACAAGTGAATGAAGTACAAAAGTATCTACTGATTCGGCTGCGAGGCAATGAGGGAAATTTTGCTATAATTCAACAACAGGCAGCAAGACGTTTTACCTCTATTGATGTTGTTGTTGTTGAAAGTACTATAGTTGTTGTTGTTGTTGGTGAATGAGGTCTGAGACAGGGACTGACTCTGAGTGTTATAATTAGATCCCATTGGGTAAGAGTTTCTATATTGCTGCTTTTGCTGCTGCTGCTGTTGTTGGTATTGTTGCTGCTGATAGTGTTGTTGTTGTTGGGGCTGTTGTTGTTGGTATCTTACATTACGACCTACATGTGTGTGTATATATAATACAGCATAGATATAGATAGATATGTATGTATGTATGTATATGTATATAGGAATAAGAGTGTAACTTAAACTATGCCAAAATGTTTTGCTGTAGCCACATTTGCCAAATAGTTTCTCATTTACGAGCACAGTATGTAGTTGTTCGTTGGTTCAGGGGCTAAGGGGGCTGGCTTTGGGGTGTTCAGGGGTTTTCCGTCGGGGAATATAACGAGAGAGAATGAATTTTAGTTTTTAGTAAATTTTGCCAAAAAGCATTTCGATAATTTCGATCGTTTGAGGACTGTTTTGTTTTCGTTAGTTCTGGATGGGTGGTTGGTTTTGTTGGTTTTCTTTGGGTAGTTTGTTCTGCGCGTAATTCTGTGGTTAAGTGGTTAAGTCATGTGCAATTTATTTCGAATAAAAAACTCCATCATCATTATAAACAGAAATCCGGTTAATACTATACAACAATCAATGGACCTCAATGGATCTACTCGACTCAACTCGACTCGACTCGATCCGTCCGTCTCTCTGTCCTGGAGTTCTGGAGTCCGTCTGCGAGTCCGTGTCTCTGGCTAACTAACTAACTAACAAACAAAGGAACTACAACTGGAGGATATATCACGCTCATATATAAACATAGCATTCGTAATCGTATTCGTGGTGGCTTAGCGACTTAGGGACTTAGCTTATCGACTAGACCCATTCACCCTCCGAATCGGGCGATTCGTCAGCCTTACCTTGTTGGCCCACATTGGTGCGTGGCAGGGTGGCATAGGGATTGCCACCGGCCGCTGGGCGCGGAGACTGCTGCTGCTGCTGCGGCTGCTGCGGCTGATACGAGACCGGCGACTTCGGTGCGGCATTCGGTGGCCCGGCGGCGGCTCCATAGGGACGAGCAAAGCCCTGGTTGACCTTCGTAATGGGGAGGCAGACAACAAAGAGAGTGTGTGGATTAATATAGAGTTTTCCGGGTGGCATAATCTTAGCAAAACTTTACACAACACTGGACGGAACTTGCTCGGTTAGTTATTTTGGTTTCTGTTTCTAGTTTCTGTCTGGGATCGGAGCTGGGAGCTGAGCTGCGGCGCGGCACGGAGCGGCGAGAGAGGAGCGGACACCTACCTTGTAGCTGATGCCCGGCCCCTTGCCGGGGGCCTGCACACTGCGTATCACGTTTCCCGTGAGGGTCACATACTCAAAGGCCGGATCGCCGGGGGCGCCCGTTGGTTGGACATTCATTTGGCCATAGATCGATGATGGCTCATCGGACATATTGTCTGTAAAGGAGGGCACTCCTGCTGCTGCTGCTGCTGTGGCTGTGGGGTTAGTGCTTGAGCTGTCAACTACTGTTGCTGTTGCTGTTGAGAGCGCTGCTTGGGGGCTTGCAACCTGATGCGAATTAAATTTCAATTGATTAGCAAGTGTCGCCGTCAGCGCTGCCACCAGCGGCTGCTGTTGCGTTGTGGCTGCCACGGATGACGTCACAAATGGCTTGTCCGTGTTGTTGTTGTGTCTGGGTTGTGCATGGGCGTGTGCTGTGGTGTGGTTGTTGATGTTGTTGTTGTTATTGGTGTGGTGTTGCTGGTGCTGAAGCTTATTGGAATACTCTTTCAGCAATTGGTTGTACGCATTATGGCCCTTGTTCTGCGTGTTCATGTCGTTCTCATTCTGCGCCCCTACCCTGCTGTTCGCCTCTGCTCGCTCTGTGCGCTCCACGCGGAAGGGGCTGGCTGTCTGGAGCTGGGGCTGGGGCTGGGGAGGAGGAGGTGGTGGCGGCGAGGGCGGCATTGTGTAATTATCGGCCTGGATACCACCTCCACTGCCACTGCTGCTGCCACCCACCGCACTCACGTCCAGCGACGTGGACGAGGCCGAGGTCTGTCGCGAGTGCATGGGCGAACCGTAGGCATAGCGGTCCCGGTCCAGGTCCAGGGAGAGCGTCGAGGAGCTCTGCTGGCTGTGGCCCGCCCCACTGGCGCTCCCGCTCCCGCCCACGCCCGAGGACGAGGAGCCACTCGAGATGGATGAGAGGCTGCTGTGGGTGCGTGTGTGCTGCTGCTGCTTCTGCTGATGCGGCGGCTGCTGTGGCTGGACCTGGATCTGGACCTGGACGGCTGACGCGGGCAGTGCCTCCTGTGGCTCCTCCTCTACCTCGTATTGCAGCAGCTGGGTTGGTGATGGCGGCGGCGGCAGGGGCAGCTCACCGGCGGCTTCGACAGTCTCTTGCTCTGGCTCGGGCTCGGGCTAATGTGTTAATGCGAGAGCGCATGTTAATGGGCAGCAGGCAGGCAGGAAGGCAGGCATGGATTCAGGATTCGATGGGATACACGGAAACAGAACTCGGGTTAATAAAGGCAGTTAATGAGAATGCAGATGCGGATACGGAATTCGAGTGGAGTGGAGTGAAGGGCATCGACGACTACGGCTGACAGCTTGTACGTGTGTCTGTGTGTGTGTGTGTGCGTAAGTGTGTGTTCTAAATATAGCTAATAGGTCAAGGTCAATTAGCTGAACAAAGAACAGTGTTCTGGTGCAAGCTGCAATGTGGCAGCAGTAAACCAGCTAAGGAAGCCTGCAAGAAATATCTGTATATCCCATATTGTATGTCCCATATCCGTGTGGTATTCCAATAAGTCGGGCGTTATGCAACACCCACTGGGGAGTAAATTTACAGAAAAATCACTCAAAACGTAACACTTGGGAGTCGTATCCCTTTCGGTTCGGTAGTGTTCAATATTCAATATTCGATGATCGATTTGGATATCGCTATGCTACTATCTATAGCTACTATGCTATAGCTTTCCAGTGTCCGCTCGCTGTGCGGACACAAAGACACGGGGGACACTGCACTGACGACACACGCTCGCGGGGACACCCGTCGAGGACTAGAGGCGCACTGTCGACGAACTATTCGCGCCGAAGGTGCACAGAAACTGCGAAAGCGGGCCCAAACCGAAGCCAAACTGGCAGCTGGCAGTAGTGTCTTTTGGCCGACGTGACAGCTGGGTGTTTTTTTTATAGCCAGCAGAACTCTCTGGCAAAAAACGAAAATAAAAAATAATACCGCTTGGCATATATATATTTAGATTTAGCTTTTCGATTCCGCAGCCATTGCACATTGCACGTTGCACATTTTCGCGAAATGCGCTGGCCGCGGCAGAAACGAGTCAGTAAGTGAAATAAATTCACATGAAATCAAATCAAATGACAAATAAAAACCCCACTGACTACTGCCTGACTGAGGGCCCAATGCTATTTATAAGTAATGCAATCAATCTGATTCTGATTCTGATTCTCGCGATCAGTCCGCAATTGATTTGACACTCGCTGCTGTCCCCCGATGTTCTGCTCTGATCTGTTATTCAATCATCAGTTGTAGGTCTCGATCCCATTCGCATTCACGTTTCCATTCGCATTCGCATTCAAACGGAAAAGGAAACAATAATTCCATGCAAAAATAAACAAACAAGCAAACACACACGCAAACAAACAAACAAACACACAAGGCACAAGACACAGGCAGAGACAAGGCAAATGCAGTCAAGCGTTTTTCCATTTTCATTTGATCGCTTTGTGGCCAAGAAAAGTGCGGAAAAGCCAAGGAAAACGTAACGAAACGAAACGCAAAAAAAAAAATAGTAAACAAGAAGCGTTTCTGAATAAAATTGCACGAAATGTTTGAACTTCTTTGCTGGCAAACTTTTTTTTTGCATATATTGCATTTTTGCTCCTCCACCCCTCTCTGCTCTGTTCTTCAAATGATTTTCAACATTTTAGCATATGTCTGAGATGCTCTGCCGCTGCTGCGCTGTGCTGCTGCTACTGCTGCTACTGCTGCTGGCGAAATTTGCCAAGTTTATGCAAACATTTTCCCTGGCAATATGATAAAATTGATTGAAGAACAAAAGAGCACGAGGGGTCGAAGCTGTGGATACCCTCCAGAGCTGCCGTTAGCTGAGCTCTCATATGTATCCAAAAGAGGGGTGATAAGAAGGGTATACACGCAGCTGCATGTTCCACTGAACATTTCTACTCGTTGCAGATGGAGCAGAGCATCTTTCGGGTTTTTCTTTGGGTTTTCTTTTAGTTTTCACCTGGCTCAAAGCATTTGCCTTGTCTGAGTACCCGAACACGTGTCTGTGTCTGAGAGTGTCTGTGTGTGCGTGTGTGTGTCTGACGGAATTGTTTTAGCCATGGCCAAGAACAGTTAACAGGCAACAGTTAACAGCTAACAGGTCCGGCTGGGACCCGGTACGTTACTTACCGGTGCCGGGGCCGGGGTGGAGTTGCCGTTCGAGTATCCGTTGCTGCCGTAGCCGTGCGAGCTCAAGGCCGACGAGATGGTGTTGGCCGACAGCTTGGTATTGCTGCAAGAAGATGGAGAAAAGAGTTTATAGGTTTGAGTGCTGCTCGAGTCGATAAATCTGCCTTAATTGCCGGTCACTGGCGATTCCCCTAATTGCCCCCCAATGGGAGCCCTGCCCTAGACCTCCCCCTGTTCCTGTTCCAGCGTCACACATAGTACAAGTCTTTTAATTAAGTTGACTTTCAATGCAATTTCAAATTTAGCAAATAGCACGGAAAACCCCCACAACAAATTCAAAATGTCAAATGCAAATTGCAACTGTCGTCCGCCGGCGGGGGCCTGGGGGCCAGAGTGGCCGGAAATATCGCACACCCTTTAGCTGATCGTATCGAATGCACTCCCAACTATCCATTTGCCCCCAATGGAGGCCCCTTCTCTATACGAATGGCAAGTATAGGGCACAGGCATACATATATTGCCGATTGCGATTCATTTATTAAAAAATTTGTGGCCCAGCCGATGACACGTCAGCAGAGCAATCAGTGTCGCCTCCATTTCCCCAAAACATAAAACAAAAGACCAAATGGCAGGACCAGTCATGGGAAAGCCGACAATGGATATGCTCTATGGATGCCAAGGAGATTAATGGAAAAGAAAGGGTATCGGGTACCTTCTAAAATTTACACTGCGGTTCGTTGAATACAGATGTTGAATATTTGTACACTCTTTTGGCCTTGGCATTCCTCTTGAGAACTAATATGTATACCCTATGGACAGGGCATTCCCAATTGCCGCCCTACCATGTATGTAAATATGTGCATGGACGAATTTCGTCGCCGGCCTGTCAGACGTGTTTTGGCATTCACCGATTCGCATTCGCATTTATTTATATTTCATTTTCATCAGTGGCCCCCCTGTCCCTGTCACCATCCCTGCCCCTGAGAGGCTGAAACCCTGACCGCTGACCAATTGGCCGTGCAATCGGACGCAAGTGACTGCAACTGCAACCGACACAGCATAGAGGGAACGAGGATGGCTGGATACCCTTTGATCACTTACGGCCTAATGGGGATGGGCACGTAGCCCTCGGTGCCGGGTGGCGGATTGTTCTGGGCGGCCTGCTTGGCGTGGATGTCGCAGTAGAGCTTGTTGTTAAAGTTGTAGTAGCCCTGGTTCTTCAGGGAGGTGCCACAGGTGGCACACTTGAAGCACTCCACGTGCAGATTCTTGTCCTTGATGCGCACAAAGACGCCACTAAAATAGGGGAAAATGAGTAAAGATAAATTATACATATAGTTATAAGGGGGAAGGAGAATGAGATGCTCTTCAAAGGATTGCTAATTTCATTTAAATCAACTTTGAAGAGCCTCTCCGATCGATTACAAATCAATGATTGACTGAATGACTCTCTTTGGATTGGTCTTCTCTTCGCATTTGTATATGTTAGACAGCCTGTACAGCCTGGATCCCCGATGGCCAGACAGGGCGCATCTGTCGCGAGTTAATGCGGGAAATGTGTAAAAAGCTATAATGAATTATCGAATTAAGCTCCGATGCGCAGGGGAATGGGTACATGGGGAATATACATATATAATATATACATATATATGTATAAAGTGTGTGGGGGAGCCAATTAAATTGGCATACAAATTAATACAAATGATGATTCCCATGCGACGTGTGGAGAACGGGGAAGGGACGGCAGAAGGTCTGGTTCTGGTTCTGGTCGGGCTGTGGGCTCAGGTGTGCGGACGGGCTTTTGTAATGCGGAGGACTGCATCAATTTTAAACAATTGACTTCGTTGGGCGCTCATGAAATAAAAGCAAATTAAAATGCACAGTCTCGTACACGTACACGAGGGGGGAGGTAGACACAGACGCGAACACAGACACAGAGGCGGGATGCAGACGCATGAATTATCATTGAACATCGAACAAATCCTTACACAATGCCCACGCCGCACAACTGACACGCCGGATGTCCGCTGGCGGACAATGTCCGCGGACGCCCCTCGTCGCTGGCCAAAGCTGCGGCGGCCGCCTCCATGTCGGCCTTGTACTCGGGCCCCTGCAGGGCCGGGCAAATCGGCAGCACAATGATGCGCGGATCAGTCTGCTCCTGCTCCTGCGCTGCCCCTTCCTGGAGCTCTGGCTTGGCCACAGGCAGACTGGGCCTGTGTGGAGCAGCGGGCGCCAAAGAATTCGACTGCAAAGGGATGCCAATCCGCTCATCCTGATGGTGCTGGTGGTGCAGCGGTGTGCGTCGCTCATTGCCTCCGATGGCATGGCTTTGTGTCCAGTAGAAGTTCGCCGGACTGTGGGGCTCTACATCGTCATCATTGTTATCATTTGAATCGGTGTTGAAAATTCAATCAGTAAAATAGCAATTTTTGGGTTTTTCGGTGTGTTTTCCAGTGTGTGTACTGACGTGTGTGTGTGGATGTGGTGTGTTGTTGCATACATACATATGTATACATCCGCCTGAGCCACGCCCCCCGCCTACAGTCTACTGGTAGAAGGCCCGACTTCCGAACTCTGCACTCTGCTTATCAGATAATTGCATGAAATTAGTTACTAATGAGGTTAACAGCGCCATAACAGAGGGACCACTACTGCTGTTAGTCAATGTTTTCACATACACAAATGCTAATTTACATCAATGATGAACAGAGCTCGCAAATAAACCCAACACATACCGGACACTGCCGAGTGTCTGGCATTCGTGTGCTTGCGTGTGCATGCACGTTCTTGCGCTCGAGAGATAAGCTTTACATGGAGATCGGCGGCTGCTTGTCTCTCTCTCTCTCGAAACAGCAAAACTGTTATTGTGGGACAGACGTGTTCAATCGTGCACAACCGAAACCACGAAGCACAGAACACAAGCAAAGGCGAGGAATGTCTTCGATGCAGGGAGAAATAGGAGATGGGGTGCTCTTGTTTTTTGTTTAGTACAGGTTAGGGGTTATTTGCTAGCTCTGATCATAATATGAGAAGGGAAGGGACAGGGACCAGGGACAAACACGACTTACGTAATGAGGCGCTCGCACTCGGTGCAAATGTTCTGGCCCGTTGGGAGTCCGCCGGTGCTTGGGGGCTTTGGTGTGTTCACGGGGGCACTGACATGACGAGTGGCATTCGACTGCTGTTGTTGAATTTGTTGTTGTTGCTGATACTGTTGTTGTTGATGATATTGCTGTTGTTGCTGGTGTTGTTGGTTGTATTGTTGTTGTTGATTGTATTGTTGTTGTTGATTGTATTGTTGTTGTTGTTGGGGTGGTGCTTGTTGGTGTTGTTGTTGTGGTTGTTGCTGGTGAACATCATGCTCGTAATTGCCAAAAGCTGTGAAAAGTGTTGTGTATAGATTGTTGGTGTAATTGTTGTCGAGGTTGGTGTAAATTTATGTACAACATACATACATATTTATGAAAAAGATTTTAAACACAAAACATGAGTTAGACGGAAAGATAGAGAGATACACAGAAAGTGATCGTATGGACAAATAAGTTTCAGAGTTTCTGTATTGTATTTCTTGTAGCGACAGCATTCAATGGATTGAAGAGATGATCTTTGTAGCTGAATTCAACCAAAGTGAACAATGATTAAAGCTGTCCCTTTCAAAGCAAATAGAAAAAAAACTAAATGCAAATCAAATTGAATCAAATCCTATAAAAATTGCAAGACCTAAAGTCTTCCACTTTAAAACTTTACTTCTTTTTCCCCACATCCTAAAACACTCTACTACAATGTTGATGAAATATTAATCATTATGTGTGTGTGCTTGTCAATGACCAAACTATAATACTTTTGAATCTAGCGAATCTGTAACTGATGACTTTGAAATTGTTCGAGAATATATATAAATATAATTAGATAACATGACTGCGGGAAACTTTTGATTGTGTGTGGACTGAACTAGAAGTGTGTCTTCATATAGAGGAAACGAAAGTCCATTTCCTTGTGCTGGTCTGAGGGGTTGAACGACAAAAGAACAGAAAATTAAGTTACGTTGAGAAGCACTCGCACTAAAGCTGGTTCAAGGTCTTTGCTGGGCGTTTTAAAAAAGAACACTCAAAGGGAAAACCGAATAGAAAATCGCTGGCACTCGGCCCATGGCTCATGGCCACCCTCTTCTGTTGCTAGAGTATGTCGCCCAGTGTGTCGCTCACAAACGGATTGGCGCCATCGTTCAGGATGAGGAGCAGGCGGGCCAGCTCGTAGTTTGGGCAATTACCTGGAGTGGACTGACCGGTCTCCTCCTCGCGCAGGAACTTCAGCACCTCCGAGCGATCGGCCTGGTATTCCTTCTCGTTCTTCTTGAAGTTGACGCTGCATTGGTGGAAGAGAAAGACAGGGAAAAGGTTGTTTTAGACATTTCGTAGGGTATACTTTTTAGCGCTCTCGTTTAGCCCAAAAGTATGCCGCGCGAGTGAGTCGTTACGTTACGCATTCGATGCGCTGGCCCGTGGAAGCGACTCGAGACGACTCCAAAGACCCGCAGAGTGTGAGAAATCCCCCAAAGAAATTAAGCGCAAAAGGCGTGCGAGTCCCACGCGTGCGTTTTGGCACCCCTCCACCACACAAAGAACTCCTCGGCAACTGGCACAAGGCACTTGGCCTGGCTCCGTCTCCGCCTTCGTCCTGCTATCATTTGCCAAATTGCACTCACCGTTAGACCAGCCTGCGGTTGTTAGTTCTACTTTTCTCTCTTTTTCGACTCTTTCTCCCCGTCCCTTTCTTCTCTTTTTGTTTCTTGGCGTCACAAAAGAAACACGCGAATATAGAGTGTGAGAGAGAGAGAGAGAGAGAGAAAGAGCAGACGGAAGGGGAAAAAAGCAAACCAAAGCACAGAAAAACAAGAAAATTTTAAGTAAAACTTTTCCTGATATTTTGCACTGTCACGGCTGTGGCCCAGACAGTTGTTTGTTGCCTTTTCCCGCCATTAACCCTTGTCGGAGGAGACCCGTCGGAAAGTAAGGGAAAACTTACCCGAGCACACCGCCAGCCAATACCTCCGCCTGGGCCGAAAGTGTTTCCGCAATAGATTCATCGCTGTAAATGCCAACCGGGGTGTTGTATTGTTTATTGACAATGCTCTTCACGCCGCCATCGCCGCCGCCATTGGCCTGAAATCGTAGTAAAGGAGGGAAGATATATTTTAGAACATTTCTCAAAGTCTGTACCAGTGTGAAATAAGCAAAATGATTGGAGTGGAAAACGTAATCTCAGTAAATCTTTGATTGGTATTGCAGCTGGGCTTTTGGCAGGTGCCGCTGTCTGCGCGGGGTCTCTTCTCAGTGCCTCTCGTAATTATAAAAGAGGAAAAACTAGCCGCTCCCCTGGCTATGCTCGAAGCGGAATCCTCAGCCTCACAAGCAGACTTTTCCCTTGCGCTTCTCATAATATTTCCCCAAAAAATGTCCGCCTTAAATGATCCCAAATCAATTTCATGTCTATTGCTGTTGCCATTATTATCATAATTCGTGGTTCGGGGTTCGGAGGTTCGGGGGTGACTATTATTATACAAATTCATAACAATAAAATATACGAAAATGTATGCATATCACACACACAAACACACATATTGAGGAGGGGAAGAGATAGACATTGGCATTACTATGCATGGCATGCTTCACAGATAGATGCTCCCACAGTGCTGGTGCTGGTTTTGGGTTTGGGTGTCTGTGTGTTTGTGTGTGTGGTGGGACCTTTTGCACATTAATTCTTGCCAGGCAAATAATCCTAGCACTCATATTCATTACTCATTCTGACACTTTTCAAAACTACGCACAAACAGAGAGACACAGCGACAGACAGATAGACAGACATCGTATAAATGCAAATGTTGTCAACTCATACAAAAGGAGGGGGTGAAGGTGGTGGAGGGCACCGAACCCTAGTCAAATGAATAGGGAAAACCCACAGACAGACAACAAAATAAACGGAAAATGTGTCAGAAAGTTTGGTCCTCGTAGGAGGAGGACTAGGAGGGGGAGAAGGCCTTGCTTGGAAGTATTCCAACTATCAACATCATTGGTCATCATCAGGACGTCACCAGCATCAGCATCAGCTGTGTGGCAGCCTGGCAGTCGTTGTTCCACCTAAAACTTTCAACATTCCCCCAAAGTTTTGGGCTCTCTGCAGTTTATGAATTTTATAAATGATGTTCCAACGCCTCCGCCTCATGGGATGGCCTCCTGGGCTGTGGGCGGGGGGCTGCCCGCAAGTGTGTGCTACACTTTGTGTGATTGCAAATTAGTAAACTTACAAATGGACGGGCCGAGTTGTTGTAGCCGCAGCCAATGTGCTGGCTGTCCTGCTGTTGGTGAGCCAGAGAGGTCTTCGTCACCGTCTGCAGATAGGGGGAGTTTGCCTGCGGCACGTTGCCGGTGGGCGTCACCTGTGGCCGCCAAGTGGAGCCACCGCTAAAGGGTTTTACCAGAGAGAGGGAGAGAGAGAGAGAGAGAGAGCTATTTGATTAGGGGAATCCACAAACATATATGTATGTATGGATGTACTTACCGCTGCACTGTGATGACAAAGTTGTTGCCGGAGCGCACCACCGTATCCTGGGCATCCTTATGACGGAAATTGAAGACATCAACGTCGTTGATCTTGATGACCGCATCGCCGGGCTGGAGGCCAGCTTGCTCGGACAAGCTGCCAGCGTTAACCTGCAACAAAACAAACACACAAAAACGTCACACATCGCAAATCAGAAATCAGAAATGGGGCCCAGTTTCACTCGAGTTAGTTCTCCCGTTAGTTTCAGTTTTAGTTTCAATTTTGGCCATAACTCATGGCCAGAGGCCGGCCAGAATGAATTTATTATGCTGCAACTTGTGCAAAAATTATGAGGCAGCGTTCCGAATCCGCTCAGATGCGGATGCGGTGGCTCTGCCGTTGCCGCTGGCCTGGCTCTGGCTTTTGGCGGATGTTTACTCTCTCGCTTTTCCCCTGGAAAATATCTGTATTTGTATCTGCAGCTATAGCTGTGTATCTGTGTGGCAACTAGCGCGGCAAAAGTTTAGTTTATAGGCAATGCTTTTGTGTGCGTTTGGGATTCTTTTTTCGGGTTTGTTTTCATCATTTATTTATTTCTATATATGTATACTCGTACTCTGTGGGTCTGTGGGGAAATTGTGCGGCAAAAATGCCATAAATTTCCACGATTAAAATCGTAAAAGTTACGCGGCAGATTCTGCTGCGTGGGGCAGACGCGTCGTGTGGGAGGCAGAGGCATTGACGCATACAGAGAGCAGAGAACGACGGCTAATTGAATGACTTAAAACTTAGGGAATGACTAAACCCAAAGGTAACCATTAAGTGAGGGAACATTTTGTTGGCATATGTATATGTAGCATATTTTTGCCTTTAAGCGGCTTAAACTTAAAGTCTGGGACCCTCTGTCAGGCGCCTGTCAATGTCGCTTCATCAGCCCAACTAACCAACTAAACACACAGATGCACACTGCTGTGTGTGTGTGTGTGGACTCCACACATAGATACACTCATCAAGCTAAAGTCTACAACCACAAAATACAGCCACAGAGGAGCTGCCGGGACAGACAGACAGAATGCTGTTGCTGCTGCTGCTGCTGCGGCTCCTCCTGTTGCTCCTCTCCACTCCTCGGGTAGAGGGGCTCAGGTGTGCCCCAAAATTATACGCGCCATGCACGTATCCACTTTGGCAAATTGTCTGTTTATCAGACAACTGGCAGGCCCAGTCAGTCAGTCTGTCAGTCGGTCGGTCGGTCCGGTCCCATTCCGTCCAGGTCCCGTCTCGACTCCAGTCCAGGGTACATTCCATAAAGGATAAGGCAGAACACACCTATGCTTTCCATGGCAGGGGCCCTGCCTTACCCTATCTATTGAATATACTTTGGGACTCATTGGATCTACTCACCATCGCTCTCCCTCTCTCTGGGATCTCTCTGTGGTCGGTTTATATTTACACAAAACGGGGCGACGTTCGTGCAAAAACAAATACAAACACACACACACACACAAATACACACTGGCAGAGTATCTGTGTGCTGTGTGTGTGTGCGGGCATAAATATTTCATTGGCGCACTCACCAAAGCGAGACACCTAAATTTTGTAATATTTACAAAGTTGCCAAAAATGTCGAAGCCCCCATACCCCTGCCGAACCGAACCGAATCGAAGGCGAAGGCGAATCCGAATCCACGAGGAGAACAGCCCACAGGTTAACCAAAGCAAAAGCAAAAGCAAGAGCCAAACCCGGCCTCAATCCAATGCCAAATCCAAGTCCATATCCGACGTGTGCTGTTGACATGTTCATTTTCTTGCTGGCTTTTTCTGAGAGGCAGAGAGGGTTTCCCGAGGTTGCGAAAATTGAAATTGCTTGGCCAAGGTGTTTCCCAGACAGTCATTGGGGGGGTGTACCCTCCCTTCTCTCGAAATCAAATTCAAAATCCATATCAAAAGCAAAGCGAACGCGGCGGCCTGCAAAATAATTTTTTGTTTTGTATCGAAGGTTGGGTCTTGGTGGGTGGGGGGTATGGGGATTGTCACTGGAATATTGACATTTGGACAGTTTTATGAGTACCTGTGATCCATGTTTGTTCCCCCTCTCATGCTCCAGTCCCCCTACATTCGTATCTGTCGTACGTATCTGGTCGGTTGCTCGACATTTGTCAGCTTTATAGCATTTGCGGCTGCCCGACAATTGACAGAGCATTTGTTTTTGCTTTTACGAATGACTCGTAAGAGGGGTGAGGGCAGGAGGGTAGTGGGTATGGTATTACCAGAAAGCTCTGGCCCCGCCTCGCTCGGCCACATTATTAGTTTTGCCAGCAGTTCTACTGCGTTCTACTGGGTTCCACTGCGGGGCAGTCATTCGCTGCGTTGTTTTCTATGAAATGGGGGGAGACAATTGTTTCTGCATTTTGCAACACTTTAATACTATGTTTATTTATCTTCTCTGCAGCCTCTTTCTCGAAGATTTTGGACGCGCCTTTCTATGCTCATCTAACAAAAGCAATGTCCTTGCAGATGGCTTAGGGTACATCTAAGGTCTATTCTCTAGCACTGCTCGTCCGCTTTTGGGATCCCACTGAACAAAGGAGAACATTAATGCGGCGTCCGAGGACATTACATGTGTGAGCCAGCAGCAAGAACGAGAGACTACGAGGCGGAGCAGAGGAGGGGCATCAGCATCAGGCAAATTATGATTTATATGACAACTGGCCGGAGCAGAGCTCTATCCCCCAGTGTGTGCCAGTGTGGCAGTGTGGCAGTGCGGCAGTGCGGCGGGGGCTGTGTGGCAGAGTCAGAGTCTGAGGAGTCCCCATGTTGAAGGAGTAAATGTTGTAAAAATAATTTCATTTGCATTATCATCAGCATGTATTTAGCATTTTGCCTCGCATCTGCATATCTCTATCTCAAGAGAGAGAGAGAGAGAGAGAGAGAGAGGACGAGTGAGAGAGAAGTCAGATTCCCCCCGTCCAAGAGGAAAGAGGAAGGAAAGCTCTTGAAATTATATGCGTTATGACAAATACTCCTATGTGTGTATATGTATACCTATGTAGGTACGTATGTATGTAGCATGTATGTATGTATGTACATATATGTACATATCTGTCAGATATATGGTATCTGTATCTGTGTCTGGCTGTGTGCTAGTGGCCAAGTGGCTTTCGTGGCTTTCGTGCTGCTGGCAGCTTGACAAAACTCTGAAGAATCGTTCGCTCTCAAGTGTTTGATTTGCAAGGGAAAAGTTGAAGAAGGTTGAAAGGAAAAATGGTTTCGAAATCCATAAAGCAAATGAAATTTTCGACCATAAGCCCGAAACCAGAGCCAGAGCCAAAGCCAAAGCCAGTCTGAGAGCCAGAGCCAGAGCCAATGCCAGAGCCAGAGCCAAAGCCAGCCTGAGCGCCAGAGCCAAAGTCTCGTAATCAAGTCAACTAAGCGCTGCTCAAATCCATTCAAGTGCATTAAAATTGAATTTCATTCGAGAGAGACAGAGAAAACAACACAACAATGGAACCAAAAATCCAAGGAAAATGCATTCTCTTCTGCATTCTCCCGAGCGGTCGGAAAGACTCCTCTCTCTCCTTCCCGCCACATGCTGTATGCAAAATATTTATGTTGATAAATCAAGTTTGCTTTTGTGGATTAGGTGTATCGCAAATAAATTGAATTTGTGGCGTAAATTAAACCCAAACAAGCAGGCAGAGGATATAGGACACAGGAGACTCCAAACTCAGGGACACAGGGAGAGCCACAAGGAGTTCGCTCTGTCTGTCTGGGCAAGAAGTTGTTGGCCAAGTTATGAGCTTGTTTAATTGAAAATAAATCTGCTTAAAGCCCCAGTGCCGCCTCAGTGCGAAGTGTTGTCGATTTTCTGCTGCATGGTGCCAGAGTGGAGAGTGCCATAAAAAAGAGAAAACAGAAACTGCGAGAAAAGTCGGAAAAGTGTCGTAAGTAGAACGAACAAGCACAAAGCCAGATAAAATACAAAATACTGCGGAAATGCAGCGCAAATACAATGAATCTCAATGTGTATGAATATGCATGGGCAGAGAGCATCACTCATACGTCTGGAACCTGGAACCGCCCCCCAACCCCTCGCCGTAAATCACTAGAAAACCCGACTCCAAACTCCAACTCCAACATACAGCTCTGATGTTGTTGTTGCTGCTGCTGCTGCTGCTGATGCGGCTTTCTGGCACACAAACAAATGGCGCAGACCCCCCACACCACACACCCCGGCACAGCACTTGACCAGCGCGAAACGGGAACAGAAAGAGGAACAGGGAGGAGCAGCAGCAGGAGCAGGAGTAGGAGGAGGGATCTACTGGCAGGCAGTCTTGATGGGCGGCCAAGAGGAGTCTCCGAACCAGCTAGAACGGCATAGAGGCATCCCCCAGAGAATGAATGAAATGAAAAACTCTGCGGACCCCACAGAAACAATTCCGACTTCCTCCTCCTCCTCCTCGTACTTTTGTTTAAAGTGCATTTTTTTGATCCGCTTGTCGTTTTTCGGGGGCAACAACTTCAAACACATTAAAGCTCTTGAATCTCTGCCTCTCTGTCGCTCTCTCTCTCTCTTGCTTTTGGCACATTCAATTAGATTGGAAAAGTCACCAAATCACTTGCTAATGGCTTTCGCTTTGGCTTTGACTGCGGCTGCTGCTGCTGCGGCTGTTCCTCCCTAAAAACCATCATCATCGTCCATGACGATCCAACCGCGACAACAGAACCATTTTCAGGTCCAGAGATGACCAAAAGCGAGTCAGGAGTCGAGTCGGGGAGACAGACAAATGATATTTATTTATTGATGGAGAAATATGGGAGCCAGCAGCAGCAGCAGCAATTGCAACTGCAACATCGAGGCACCCGCCAAACTGTCGGCAACATTTATAAATTATGATTGCAATCAACGTGCAACAAAAGAGCGTACCAACAGCAGCAGCAGCAGGAGGACACAGCCAAGCTGTAAACTGCTTTGCAGATACTCTATCCTGGGAGAGAGTAGCATTTATTTTGGGGATGTCCAGACAGGAATGAAGGAAGTACTTCCCAAAAAGGGTACACACTCTTCGGTGTTCTGTAAATCAATTTCTCTTTTTTGATTTTCTGGCATGAAAGATGCAGACAGACAGAGAGAGAGTCGGCAATAAACGTGACAATCTATATACATAAATGTT